TCCACAATTTAACCATTGTGAATTGTGCTGCCATAAACATTGATATGGCTGTATCACTGCAGTATATTGTTTTTAAGTCCTTTGGGTATAAACTGAGAAGTGGGATAGCTGGGTCAAATGGTGACTCCATTCCAAGTTTTCCAAGGAATCTTCATACTGCTTTCCATATTGGTTGAACCAGTTTGTAGTCCCACCAGAAATGTATGAGAGTGCCCTCTTTCCTCACATCCTCGCCAGCACTTATTGTTGTTTGTATTCTTAATAGCTGCATTCTGACTGGTATGAGATGAAATCTTAGAGTAGTTTTAATTTGCATTTCTCTAATTGCTAGAGATGTTAAACATTTTTTTCATGTATTTATTGACTGATTGTATGTCATCTTCTGAGAAGTGTCTGTTCAGGTCCTTGGACCATTTATTGATTGGGTTATTTGTTTTTTTGGTTCTAAGTTTTTTGAGTTTATATATATCCTAGAGATTTTTCATAGTTGTAGATGGACAGAATGCCTTTATTTTATTTGCTTATTTTTATGTGGTTCTAAGGATTGAATTCAGTACTTCACATGTGCCAGGCAAGTGTTCTGCCATTGAGCCCCAGCCCCAGCCCTCATTTTTGTTATCTTTCCTTTTCAAGTATATTTACTTTATTTCCTACAAGTTTCTTAGGCATGAGGGTATTTTTGTTTTGTTTGTTATATTTTATCCTCTTCCCCAAACCCAGTACTCTTTTGTTCATCAAAATCCAACAACTGTGGTTTTTCAGCTAAAGACTAGGGACTAGGACAAGGGATATAATAGGTATATGTCAAAGTTTCCACATTTTCCACCCAGAGAAAGTTGGGAACTACAGCTGGAAAAAAAATTTTGTAATGAATTATTGCCTTTAGGTTTACAAAGATGCCTATTCTTAGGAAAATAAAAATGAAAGTAAATACTTGGGCTTATCACCTTGTACTTAGAAGGGGCTGTGAAATTCAGTGACGTATTCCCTTTGCTGGTTGAAGGAGTATGAGCATTGAAAATCAGTTCAAAATTCCCTGTCCTTTTTTCCTGTCTTCCCTTCAGAAAAGTTTATTTAGTGCCTATATAAACACCAAACATCCTAAAATGAACAAGATATAGTTCTAGTCCTCAGGTTCTGGCATTTTAGTGAAGACAGGTGGACTATGGTATGACAACTGCTGTAATAAACCTCATCTGGGGTACTTTGGAAACACAAAGGATGGAACTTAGCTCAGACTTAAAGAGTCACAGAAGATTTCCTGAGAAGGAAGGGGTATCTAAGTTGAACCCTGAAAGACAAATAGCTGAAGGGTGGATGGCAGTGGTAGAAGTTGAGCACTAGGTAAGCAATTGGGCAGAGAAGTCTATTAGGCCTTTGATATAAAGGTCAAAATTTTTAAAAAATTTATGTGTGAGTTTGCAGAGTCTTTTACCTAAAAATGACTCAAAAAGAGCATCTCTTTATAGTACAACTGTTGAAGTGCAGAGTTAGGATCAACAGGTTCTAGTTACACATCTTGACATAGAGCCCCATCCTAAATTATCAATGAGTCAAACTCCAGCTTCCTTATCGTGTCTCTTCATAACTCTGTTTGGACAGTGTCTTGAATTATTTGCTTATTCTTCATACAGAAGCACTAAGAGAGACATTGTCAATTGTGGTGTAAAGGATAAGACAGCTACTCAACCAAGGCTGTGAAGCATTCTTCATTGTGTATATATTTCTTCATCGTATAAACTTAGCACAGAACAGGCACATATTTTATTTTGTAATAACAGAAGAATCCTATTTCAATTCTTGTTATTTCTCCTATAATGTTATCTTACTATACTATAAAATGGAGGAAACCACTATAAATAATAAAAACCATTATTATTTTTAAGAATCCATTTAAGGAAAGTAACAAGACTTCAGATTTTTTAAAACCTTTAGCTGTAGTCTCAGAGCATAGTGTTTTCATTCTTCAGATAATAATAATAAAATAGACTTTTAAAATATTTTTTATATTTACTAACAAATTATTTTTTTATATTTACTAACATAAAACTTGGTTAAAAATAAAGTGATATAATAGAATTCACCTCACTTCAAAGAAAAACTAGATTATTGTACACAACATACTTTCAAATTTGGCAAAAGGAAATTTTGTTTTTTCAAAAATATTCTGCTTCACAGATATTGTTTATAGAAGTATATTTTTTATACCCCTAAATCCTTTTCTCTATTTAATGATTCTGCAGAAAATTGTCTAGTATGTTTCCAGAAAAGAGAACAAAAGATTTCTGATTGAGCTTTGTTCACAAAGGCAGGTGGCACAGGCCGAAAGAGCCAAGGATGTGAAAAGCCAGAACATGGGTTTCAAAGTTAGAACATTTTAATTCAAGTCTCTGTTTTTCCTTTGCTAACTCTCTTTTTACCTCCAGACAATAGGGGAAATAACCATAGTTTCCTAAAATGCTCTGAGGTCTGAGTCCTTAGAAGGATATAAATCATTACAAATTTATGATAATTTAATATAATCACTGTAGTGATATAATAATATTTTCTTAGAAAAACTTTGATAATAACTTTCCTAAAATTTCCCTTGGAAATCTATTGGATAAGTTTGGGTATTAGAGTGGATAAACTTATAGGCAAAAGGATTAAAGTAATTTCAATTGCAACTCAAGGTAAAAAATCATAGATAACTCAATAAATAAATGAATAAATTTCTTTACAAGTTGATAGAGGGTCTCACTTGCACTGACTTGTTTTTTAATAAACTATCAGGACTGTCTGCCTAATAAATGACTAAAATTTTACTCTAATAAATAGAGTAAAATGATTATTTCCTGTAGTTCTCTGCAGTTTTCTCTACCTTAACCAACTTAGTAGTATCTTATTTGAAAATTTAAAGTTTATTTTCTTCTAGGAAGGAAAAAAGTGAACTTCTATTAAGAGAGGTATTGCATGGGTTTTCTCAAACCCAAAGTATGTAAGATTGTTATGTACAGCAAACAAACAGAAAAATAAAAAGGTTATATTAGTGTTTCTGTAACATTAGTTAGCCATTTGGAAACTGCATTTTTATATTAAAAACCTTTAATGAAAATACCCCCTCTACTTTAATTTTATATTCCTTAAAAACAGAGAGGCATATGTCAGAAATTTTGATAACTGAAAAACGTGACTTACAGAATAATCAGTACTAATCATATGACTGCAGTTGTGAAAAGAACTGTGAGTGGGTGCCTACTGGTATGTACATATATACTTTTAAAAGGGCCTTCAGGATGGATACCAGCTGCTTATAGTACCTTTTTCTGGTGAAGTGAGAAACAGTATGTACAGGGGCAGGGGATGATGACGTTTTTGTTTTGCCTTGAATGCTGTTTTATTTGAATCTTTGAAATAAGTATTTGCATGTTACTTGTAATATACACACATGCACACAGACGTACACAATGAACTATAGGAGGAACCATTTACACCTTCTTACATTATCACTGTTGCCACTTGACAGCACCTGGACTTGTGCAGTATCTACAAATGCTGTCTTCTAAATGCACATGAATCAAAATACGAGTACCTAATAAACATTCCAAGAAGTATAGCTGGATTTGATTATGTTTGGAATGTATCACAGATGTGTCGATAGAGGACATAACAGGCATGCTTGAGTTCAAGCTCTCTGAAATGGCCTGATGTGGGTCTTTAGGAGGGTCACTCCGCTCTGGATGGATGAATATAGCCCAGGCAGGCATGATTTATCTTGCTGAACTGCTCCACTGGGCTAGACATGATGCTCACCTTTTCATGCTTTTTTTCTCCCCCCATGTTTTTTTTTTTTTTTTTTTTTTTTGGTAAATTGTTTGACTTGTCTCTGAAAAACCCAGGAGACAAAAACATTCAACTGTTTACTCACTAAGTCAAAACCAGTGCTCTTTAAAATGTTGGCTGATCCTTTACCCCCTAATTACCTTACAACACTAAGCCCCTGACAGAAAGCCTGTCAGCAGATTTTATTTAGAACCCTTGAGGAAAAATTCTCTTGCTGTTTTCACTTTACACAGAAGATAAGTTTGCAAAAGGAAACATTTGGCAGTACTTCAGATGTGTGCTGTCTGGTGGTGTTGATAATGCAATTCTTTCTTTTGATTATGGCAGCATTTATAATGCTGTTTCATTCACGTAGACCATCATGCCCCAACTGACTGCATTTATCAAATGAACAGACACAATTCATGCAATCTCCTGAACTGTTTACCCTTTCTCCTACTATAAGTTAAGAATCTTGACTACAGGCTGATTCTATATGCTGAACTCTGTTGTTGAGAAATGTCACACTCCTCTTGGTACACCTACAGAATGTCTTTTTTTCAAATAAAGGAAGTCAGCTGACCTGAGTAAAGAACACTGATAATTATGGGTAATTCACTAATATTTATCATATGTTTTGAAGAGAATAAGTATCATGGAGATAAGTAAAATGTAGATTTCAAATGAGTATTTTTTCCTTTTGCTAATAGTCATATTCATATAATCCACAAGAGCCCCAAAATAAAAATTCTTTTTGTGTAAAAGTCACTTCATCTAAAATATCTCCCAAATAAAAAGGTACCCAGGGAGATAAATCCTACAGTCATTTTTTTCCCTTTCTAGTAGTAGAGATAAATAAATGTGGCTTGATATCTCCAAATTGTGTTCTTGAGCATGTATGAATAACATCCCAGAAATCATATAGGTTCTAAAACCACTGAAAAGTCTATCAAAATTGCACAATGCAATAGGTGAAAAGTCATCTGTGAAAATATTTTAAAGATAAATATGCTGGCTATTGTTTGGTCTAACTCTCATGGGTGAAGCATCATATTTCACAGCACAGCTGAGCAGTATAACAATATATAGTTTAAAATCACACACTATGGAAACAGACTACATCTATTGCCTATTTGCAAATGTAGGAACAGACAGAGGTGGAGGAGGTCACACATCAAATAAAAAAATCATTTACTCACTGTGTTAAAATTTGGAAAGAGCCCAACAGCAGAACTACCGTCCACTGGAAAAGACATAAATGGTTTGATATCCAGTGAAGGCTGCATCATCAGGGTAGGAGTGCGCACAAGAGCAGGAAGGGTAGTAGTATGGCATGTACTGCCTGCCAAGAACAAAATGAAAATGAATTCAATCTCTTGCTCACATCCATCTCCCTCCCAAACCTACATAGCCCAAACAAGGCCAGTGAGCTGCCACCTGCAAACAAGAGAGTCACACTGGAAGTAAGCAAGTGGCACAAGAATAGTAAATATGGTCAAAAGACATCTTCTTCCTCATTGTCTAAGACAGTGATACAGAACACTCTCCCATGGCAAGAGCCAAGGGCAGCTCAGACTCAACAAGACACAGTACACAGCTTCTACTGGAAGGTGGGGGGAATGAGAATGGCCTGGTGCCCAAGCAGGTTGCTTTTAAGTGGCCAATAATTCAGGAAAGAGAGGGGGGTGGGGCCTCTTGAAGCCAGATGCTCTTTACTACATTAAAAGGGTAATAAACAATTTTTTTTTTCAAATTAAAGATAAAGGATTTTTGCAAGAAGAAAACTTAAGACTCTTAGAGTTTCTGTTTGAAAGTTATGACTCAATTTGTTTTATTTAAAAAAAAAATAACCCAAAAGCTGGCCTTTGAGGAAAAGAAGCAGTCTAGACATTGGATAGTCAGAGAATGTAAAACGGTCTGATTATAGCCTGGTTGTGGACAGGGTATTGGAGACAAAGAGTATTTAGGACAGGAACTCAAATTTTTGTTGTCAACTATCAGTTCTAATGAGCTTTGTATTATTTTAGCGATTATCCCTTTTAATCTTATATCAGCTGTTAACCCTTCATGTGAATAGGAGATTTGAAATGCTCCCCTCCAGCAACAAGCATTCTTCTTTAGTCTTCAACTTTCATGTAATATAGATAAGCAATGGCTGGTGCAGGTGGCTTTCTGGGAGATAGGCATGTAACAACTTTATTGAAATATAATTCATAGATGGGAGGGGAGGGGAGGGGAAAGGGGGAAAGGAAGGTGAGCAGAATAAAATAGACATTATTATTTCTGTATGTATATACGTGACTGCATGACCAATGTGATTCTGCAACCTGTACACTCAGAAAAATGAGAAATTATACCCCACCTGATTCAAATGTATGATATGTCAAGATCATTGTACTGTCATGTGTAATTAAAACAAAAACAAAAAACAAAAAAATATAATTCATATACCAGACAATCCACCCAAAATATACAATTCAGTAATTTTTAGTATATTCACACAGTTGTACTAACATCACAACATAATCTATTTTCTTGATCTCTTAAAGAACATTTTCATGATCTCTTAAAGAAGCCCTATCCCCATTAGCTGTCACTCCCCATTTCCACCCAACATCTCCAGCTCTTGACAACTACTAATCTATTTTCTGTCTCTAAAAATATGTCAATTCCAGGCACTTCATTTAAATTAAATCATACAATATGTGGTCTTTTGTGAGTGGCTTCTTTCATTTGACATAGTCTTTTCAAGGTTTGTTCATACTGTAGCCTGTATCAGAATTTTATGCCTTTTCAAGGCTGGATAATATTCTGTTGTATGAATGTCTCACATTTTGCTGCTGTTCATTAATTGGTTCATGGGCATTTAGATTGTTTTCACCTTTTTGGCTATTATTAATAATGCTACTATGGATATTCGTTTACAAGTTTTTGCGTGGACATATGTTTTCAGTTCTCTCAGGTATCTGCCTAGGAGTGAAATTTTGGTAAACACTGAGTCATATGGTACCAGATAGTTCAACGTTTTGAGGAACTGCCAGACTATTTTCCAAAGGGGCTGAACACTTTTACATTACCACCAGCATGGTTGGAAGGTTCCAATTTCTCCTGGCCTGACTACACAGGATCACAAAATAATCATATGCCTAAAATCCCCTGCTGACTTCAAGGAGAAATGAACAGTATGAGAAAATGCTCTAACTATTAAAATTTCCACCAACCTCTTACAGTGTCCCAGGGTCATTAAAATTCCTATTTCAATGATTTTTTTTTGTAATGATTTTTCTTAATAAATTGCATCATATTTCAAATCATTTCAGAACATTTATTGCCAACTGTGTTCAAGGGACTGTCACACCTCTTTTATATTGATCCTAAAAATTGGGAGAAAAAGAAGAGAGGAAAAAATAAAAGAAAAGAAAGGGAACCTGAAGCATTAATCTGTAATGATAGTTCTTCAGGTCTGCCCCATTCATTAGGAAATACAGACAAAGATTCTGCAGGAAAAGACTCAGCAAAAATATAAGTGTAACAGTAATTTTGTTTGTGTTTTTGATGAACAAGTAAATACTCTAAGCATGGTATTCACATAGCCACCCTGCATTTAATTACACATTACTCTTCTAATTAGGTAATGCTATATCCATTGCTAACTTCAGTGATTGTAGATCCAAGATGATGTATTATATCAATTTATCAAATGTTGCAGAGGCACTTATATTATTAAAATGCTTGTTTTAAAAGCTTTGCTTTAAAATCTTAGTTAAATTAAAAACTAGAAATATTTCTTAAATTAGATCAGAGCCTTTTATGATTCATTATTAATATAATTATTAAAAGTCTAAAGTACAGAGAATAAGTATACAGAATCATTCTACTTAAGCTGCCTGATGAACAAATTTGTAATTATTTTGCCATTGTAGATCTCCCAAAGGAAAGCTAGGTTCTTTCTCTAAACCCACAATGGTGTCTCTGATAACACTGTGTAGTACATGGCCCTCAGGGCCTTCTGAGTTACTTTGTCCAACAAACTCAAATCAAATAGAATGCAACAGGGAACTTGAATAGAGATTGCCCCATCAACAAAGGTCAGAATGCACAATGATCCCCCTTACCCAATCAAATCTCTATGCTAATAAAGACAAGACTTCAGAACTACTTAGCTGCCACCATTCATTAGCATAAAAAACTTAGCAGCTGCTTACCATTTCATTAGCATTTTAATGACAGACAATTTGCCATGTTAAACACAGATTGTTATAAAGTACTGGTGGATCTTCTGAATAAATATAAACTGTGATTTTATCAATTCTTTCACCTCAACTTGCTGTTTTCACTTTTCACCAAAACTGATTGCTTCAAAGGAAGTTTTTGCAAATGGAAATAAATGGGGATAAAGTGCATCCCCCCCACAAGTTATTTTTCATGCTTTGATCCTCTATCACCTTATTCCAGATTTTACTGCTACTGCTATTGCTGCTGGGAAGCCTTTCTCCTCACCTCTGGGTGCCTGAATGTCAGTGGGAATTACTAGCAGAAATTTGGCCAAAATGCATTGCACCTTGCAAAAAATGCTTAATTTCTCCCCAAGTCAAAGACTTGCTGAGGAGGGGAAAAAGGCTGAAAATACAGTAAGTGGGCATCTCAATGCAAAAGTATACCCTTTACATTGCTGTTCCCATGGGATAGAAGCAACCTTTGACTTTTGTAGAACTATTTGGAAATATTATATAAGGCTTGTATGTTGCTCTGTTTTGAAACCTAAGATACAGACTGGTATATATCACAATGAATAAAATCATAATAGAGCTTCACCTTATTTAATAATAATATATATATATATATATATCTCAAACTCTCTGTACTAAAACTAGATATACATGTAGCATGTAAATTTCACAGATCTAATAGTTACCACTGTTACCATGTCCATCATATTATTATTCTATATGTCCATATAATCTCCTGTAAGAATGCAATTAACCTCCCAGAAATTTCATTTTGACAGTGAAACACGTAGGGACAAGAGAAAATTTCCTTTCCACTCTCTGAAGTTACACTGAAATGACAATGACAGGTTAACAGGAGAAAAAAAAAACATACATAAACTTATCAACATGCATAAGCTCAGGAATCACACAAAATATGAAACTCAAAGGAAAGGTCCCATGGTTGAAGCTTAAATAACCTCTTCACAGGGGAGTGGAAAATGGAGGGTGCTCAGGTAATTTTAAAGGAGAAGCAAACAATTTTTAGAAGAAATGGATGAGCCCAAAGAACTCATCAATGCTGAAAGGTGTAACAAAGTCAGAAAAGCAATAAAAAGAGAAAATCGAGTTCTGGAAATAAATCTGAAATGCTACTTATGTTAATTACTTTAAAGAAATATTTGGAAATTCTATAATTGAAATCCCCCCAACACACACACACACACACACACACACACACACACCATAAATCTCCATGGTGTGTTAAGTTTTGTATTTCAGCACTGAAGGGGACATACATAATAATAGTAAGAAACTACTGCAGGATAAGTAATAGACCTAATCTCCTGTAAATGCTCAAAGAACTCAACAATGGCCTGGGACAAAGTTCCTCTGGGTTCTAGAGGAGGTAGCAGCCAGAAGTTACTGGAAGGTGAGAGGTGGAACTTTACTGCCAAGGAAGGTTGTCTTATTGTGCAGATAAAGTGTCCAAGGTAATCCCCTGGAGCTGCCCTCAAGAGAATAGGTGAAAAGTCTATCTGGGAGGGGTGTCAATTTTTAGTCTCTTCTCTTTTCTGGTGGTTAATCTTTCCTGGTTATTTGATGAGATTTCTAAAGAGGAGGTTGAAGACAATTCTTTTGGAAGAATTTCTTTAGTCAGAGAAAGGAATTTCAGAGATGGTGTCCCTTTTGTGCTCAGGGTTCAGGAGGAGAAACAAGGTCCAATTTCCTTTAATTCAAAGTGCTCCGCACTTCAAAGCTTCATTCTTTTGGGTATGATTTTCTGAGCCCCAACAAACACAGCTGAATTCATCTATTCCCTGAAACCAACAATATGTGAAAGATTCACAACTGTGATTATATTAAAAAAAATTACTTCAGCCAACTGTCTCTGTAACATAATAGGTACTTTATCATGTCAATGGATTATGTCATAATCCATCACAATAAAACTTCATTTGAGGACCAAGTGACACTTGAAAGTATTACCTTAGTCTTTGACCTTTAGAAATATTATATTGAAGGCTCTTTTAGGATATAATCTGAGGCTTCCTAGTGGCTCTTATGTACCACAACAGAAACTAACACATAGTTCATTCTTGGAAAGGAGAGTACATCAAAGTCACAGAAAACC